CCACTACCACTACATACATGTATGTTACCACTATGACACAGAAGTTCATGTACATGTGTGTATAAGGCTATATAAGCATCAATTGTTGCCAGTACTATACAGTTAAAAATTCTGGCAACCTCTAGATTTTTAAACGAAAAGTATTTCACACTGGTGTCAAAGGCAAATGAAAGTTGCTGCTGACCTGCGAAGAACGAGTTGAACTCATCATCGCTGTCGAAGTCGACCTGGGAGTATGTACAGCTGGGGGAGTTGGAGAGTGAAGGGAAGCCGGTCTGTGAACAGAAATTATAAACACATTATTGAGCACTGTGGAACTGTGAAACAGCACATACCGGTAGCTCAGTAGGAGACATCTAAGATGATAAAACAATTTTACTAGAATTGAACATGGAGATTTTCTACCCCATATAATAAAATGCTGAGAAAACTGCAAGCTTATGTGGACTGTAGTATATATATTGTGTATAGTGTAACTTCAATCAGTGCCATTATTGTACATGCTTATTAGAAACATATCAAAAAGGCTCTTTTTGTACTTTCCCAAGGATAAAAATTCCTGCCAATTACAACATCATGAGTTTCCTACCTTGACAACATTAATGGTGGCCTGTTGAAGGACTTTAGGGACGAACTCGAGAAAAACAGAGTCCTTGGAGATGTGCTCATGTCTGAGGAATGCTGCCCACAGGCCCTGAGTCAGGGAGGACAGGCTCTGGGGAAAAGAGAAAGCCTGGTAAGGAGACTGTTCAGACAAGTTTTCACTTATGGGGGCAAAATTGTAATAAAATAATAATATACAGTGTGTACAGAGGAACACAGTAGCAGGGCAAGTTATACCAGGTCCTGTTGAACAATACAGTCATGGTACAGTCACATATACAAAGTAACATATAAATATAACATCAATGCATTTGTCTTCTATCAAGAAATTTTGTCCATTTTCAAACACTGGTTCTCCTGCAGTTTTCAGTACCTTACTGCATACCTACCTGGCTGTTGTGTGCTGTGAAGGACAGGATGGCTGACAGGTACTTGCTGAAGTTTGCTGGACAGCCCACTCCCAGGCCAGTTGGACCCTGTACAAGGAAACAGGACAACAGCAATGGAAACTTAAAAACTATTCTAATACAAATGCCTCAAATAAAAAAAATTCCATGTCTCTCAAGCCATTCACAATAGAAAGTCACCAATACAAAATGAATGTTACTGACCCAGAGGGTCCCCAGCTGCTGCCCCAGGCCGACCAGCAGCTGACACAGGCGCTTCAGGAACAGGTAATGCTGCTCATTCTGCAGGGCTTCTCTGTCTGCAGAGCTGTAACATGCAAACACAGTTTGGGTCATATGGGCTTAATGTATGGTCATATGTCACATTATGACTTGACTTACTTGACTTAAGTCGGGTGCCACTCCTCCTCTGCCACCCGAACCACAATGGCTGCCCAGTAGTCTCTGTCCTCCATCACCTACCCCATGTCTTCGGCCCGAAGGCCAACGTCCCTTCGCAGCACGTCTGGGTAAGTGAGGGGTGGTCTTCCCGGCCTCCTTCCCCCGTGTGCTAGGGACCACAGGACAAGGTGCGAGGCTATCTCCCTGCAGTTCCTTAGTGTATGGCCAGCAAACCGCAGTCGCCTAGCTCGTATTTTTGTCGTCAGTTTTGGGAGTCCAGCATAGAGCTCTTTGTTTGTCAGATGTTGTTCCCAATGTACATTATGGACATGCCTCAGCATCCTTGTGTAGCAGCCATCCAGTTGCTTTTCCAGTTTGGGAGTCACCGTCCACGCTTCACAGCCGTACAGGAGTACCGACTCCACCGTTGAGAGGAAGAGGCGTGTCTTGAGCTTGCTTGACAGGTCTGACTTCCAGATCTTGTCCATCTTGTTGCAGGCTCTCCACGCCGCTGCCTTGCGGGAGTTGATGTCCTTGGCAGTGCTTTCCATGTGGGACCCAAGATACTTGAAGTCCTCCACTTTCTCAAGAGTGGATCCATCTGTGGTCTTCAAACAAACCGGTGACTGCTGGTTGAAGGCCATGAACTTGGTTTTCCCCGCGTTCATCTGTAGGCCAACCCTTGCAACTGTTGGGCTTGGTGGACTTCTTCCGAAAGGAGGGCGATGTCATCCGCAAAGTCTAAGTCAGTCACAACCTTTGGCCCAATCCTCCTACTCCTCCTCTTCACCAGTTGGAAGCCCAGCTCCTCTTCTCTCCCTTCTATGGCCACCCTGAGTGCGTAGTCCAGCACTAGCACAAACAGGTACGGTGCCAGGGTGTCTCCCTGCAGGACTCCAGCTTGGATCTCAAAAGACCTGGTGTCCCCGTCTGGAGTTACCACTTTTGCCATTGTGCCCTCATACAGACTGCCGATGGCGTGGACGATCTGCTCTGGGATGCCGTAGGCTTTCAAGATCCTCAACATCTTACCCCTGTGGATGGTATCGAACGCCTTTTTAAAATCTTTGAAGGTGATTATGGCAGGTAGGTTGTGACTCTTTATGCCCTCAATCAGTCTTCGTAGTGCAAGAACATGACCAACTGTCGACCTTCCTTCCCTGAACCCGTTTTGGTTACATCTCAGAAGACCGTCCACAGCTGGTCTTATTCGGTTTAGCAGCATCTTGTTGAATATCTTGGCCACCAGTGAGCTCAGGCTGATGCCTCTGTAGTTACTCCCAAGTCTAAGGTCTCCAGATTTGAGTATTGGGACGATGTTTAGCAGGGACCACTGCTCTGGTTTTTCCCCTCTGGTCAGTACTCTGTTACAGAAATCCAGGATGATTCTGTCCAACCCTCCGCATCTCTTCAGAACTTCTGGGGGTATTCCATCCTCTCCAGAAGCCTTTCCTTCGACCAGAGATTTCTTAGCCTTCTCGTATTCCCCCTGCTCAAACGGACCATCTTTGATGTGGAGCTCCTCGAACACAGTAGGGATTTCCTCATCCTCGTCCGTGATGTTAGGAGGACTTCCAAGAAGAGTTTTGAAGTGGTTGTACCAGTTCTCAATCCTTTCCTCCTGTGTATTTCCTTCTAGTTGACCCTTCCTAGTTGCCTTTCTGTCAGTGATGTCGTTAATCAGTTTCCAGCTCTGTCCATGCTTGCAATTCAGATGAGCTTTCTCCACCTCTCTGATCTTGTTGCTAAGATCTTCTTCCTCCACTGTAATGTAGGCTTCTTTTAACTTCTTCTTGGTCTGTCTGTACTCTTGTCTGTTTGCTTCGGATGTGTTCTCCTTGTACCTCCCATACACTTCATTCAGCTCTTGTCTGACCTTTGCCACCCTGGGGTCTTCTGAGTGCCTTGTCCTCCTTCCCCTCTTTCTGAGTGGGATCACTTTCTCTGCTGCCTCCTCGGTAGCTTTGATGAACCTCTCGTACCTTTCCGTAGCAGATTCATCGAGATCCTTCAATGGTTGAAACCTATTGTGCATCTCGATCGTGTACTGCTCCTGTAGATCACTCCTGGTCTTGAACAGGTTCCAGTCGTACGGCCTTTTCTTTGGCCCTGCTTTCTTTTTCCTCAGGCTCAGTCTCACCCTGGCAGAGACAATTCTATGGTCTGAGCCGACACTTGCAAAAGAACTGTATGCCTCCACATTCAGCATGCTGTTACGCCATTTCCTACGTATAAGCACGTAGTCTAACTGGTACTTCATGCCTCCTGGGCTGATGAAGGTCCAAAGCTTTCCTGCCTTCTTACAAAAGTCGGTGCTAGAGACGACTAGGTCCTTCTCGTTAGCCAGATCCAACAACAGTCTCCCGTTTCTGTTGGTTTCCTTATGGAATGTGAACTTGGCATCTTGGTCACCTATTCTTGCATTGAAGTCCCCAATTACCAGTAACAGGTTGTGAGCTGGAATGGCTTCAATGGCTCTTGCCAGGTCCTCATAGTGGGCCTTTACTGTATCCTCATCTGCTGTGTTGGTTGGGCAGTAAGTGACAATGATGCTTGCTACTGGGTTCCCCTGGAAGCTTGCTGTTAGTATCCTCTCTGTGTTTTTTGTAACCTTGGCCAGCGAGCTGCTTGCTGTAGAGCCAAGCATAATCCCCACCCCTCCTACAGCTGCTCCAGCCTGGTTCCTGGTTGCAGATGTAGTTATGAGCTGTTGACCGTTGATGACCTCGTGCTTTACTTCTTCCTAGTGCACTATACGGTGCTCCTGGATTCCCAGAACGTCAATTTCATACAAGCTAAGGTTGGCTGCCAACTCCTCTCTGCATCTTGTTTCCTTTAATGTTCTAACATTGAGCGTTGATATTATAGTAGTTTTCCTGCAGTTGACAAGACTTCTCCCAATACAGGTACCTCCATCGGGCTTGTTCCTTCCTTGTGGGTTTGGGGACAAGTCGTCATGGAAACCCTTTGGGTCTCGGCCTGTGGTGGGATCTCTGTTAGGGACTTTAACCCTAGTGTTGTTTCTGTTCGCCATCATGGTTTTTCTATTGCTTATAATAACTGCGGGCGCCACTCCTGCAGTATGGTTTGTCATGTGAGTTTTCCTTCTCGTAGTCCTCTGGCCGTTGTAGGGTGATCAGTAAGCTGTCATCCTACCTCCGCCCTTCGCCTTAGTCATCCCTGTCTTCGACCAGAGATGGTAAGTTGCCCAGGTCTGAGGACTCCCTGCTTTTTGATCACTGGCCGCTGCTGTGACATTCGACAGGCGCCCTCTTGCCGGTTACCAGAGTTGTACTCCTTTGCGCCAGAGGTAGTGATCGTCCTCTACTATTTAACCCATAGCTGGGACGAGCGTTGGTGGGTGGCAGAGCGTGTCCACTCATTGGTGGGTCATGCCTACCGCACCTCTGGGGCCGCTCGTTTCTCCGAGATCCCCTACATAGTTAGCCTTGGGTAGTGAGTCCCAAGTTACCAGGTTGGCCACGTGGAGGCCATGTAGGAGTCTTGAGTAAGTAGGTGTCCTGGCTGGTGTGGGGAGGCTGATGCAGGAGCTGCCAGTGGTGGTGGCAGAGTGGATGTGGCAGAGTTGGTTTACGCTGGAAACAGCCAACTACAACTGAGCTACAGCACATAGCTACAGCACTACGCCCTACTTCTACAGCACTACGCCCTACTTACCCCTGTGGCGAAGACACCCAACCCAACCCAAAGGCGCACCAATCTAACCATAATACAATACATTTGCAGGCATTTCTGAATACACAGTACTGTTGTAATCTCATAGTCAATTCCAGTCCAAGTCGCACCAAATCTAACCATAATACAATACATTTGCAGGCATTTCTGAATACACAGTACTGTTGTAATCTCATAGTCAATTCCAGACCAAGTCGCACCAAATCTAACCATAATACAATACAATTGCAGTCATTTCTGAATACACAGTACTGTTGACATCTCAGCGTCAATTGCAGTCCAAGTCGCACAAAATCTAACCATAATACAATACATTTGCAGGCATTCTGAATACACAGTACTGTTGTAATCTCAAAGTCAATTCCAGACCAAGTCGCACCAAATCTAACCCTAATACAATACATTTGCAGCCATTTCTGAATACGCAGTACTGTTGTAATCTCAGAGTCAATTCCAGACCAAGTCGCACAAAATCTAACCATAATACAATACATTTGCAGGCATTTCTGAATACACAGTACTGTTGACATCTCATAGTCAATTCCAGTCCAAGTCGCACCAAATCTAACCATAATACAATACAACTGCAGGCATTTCTGAATACACAGTACTGTTGAAATTTGGGCTACAGGCTTATACTTGCCCACACATTTATTACATCATTACTTAGTTAACTCATAATCTCTTTCTCTCTCTGGCCACCTTCAAGGCATTCAAATAAATAACTTCCTCACATTTGTTTACTACTTTTTGTCTTTAGGTGGCAGTGGATAACCCCTAGCCCAATGTCCCTTTTCGTTGCAGTTGTTACACTTATCTTCTGGTCGCGGCCCCCTACCCCTACAGGAATATTTAAGCCTTATTTACGAACACCATTAAGGATGCTTAAATATCGTTTTTCGTGCAGTGATAGAAGCAAGACAAAAGCGTCAAATAAACAAACCTATGTAACCAAACGACCTTACGACAAAAAAAACGAGTATTACCCTTAAAAAAAAAACGAGAAACTGTCACCACACCGCCATAAGGCCAACGTTTGCTCGTACCAAAGATCCAGCGAAAAAAACAACAATTTACCTGCTGATTG